ACACATAATTGGTAGTTGCTGTGTTACTGATCTGGTGGCACACGTATAAAACTGCACTGTTTTGCAGTGGAGTGTGTTTGTCTGTGTGTACTGTATAGGTTAAGTGTATGCGTCTGTGAGGCTCCACATAGCCTAATTACAGCAGTGGTGGTTAACTAGGCAGCAGCATTTGTGTTAATCAGCAGAGAGTGACGATTGGGGAGCTAACTGAGCTGGTGTCTCATGCTCTTTAAATGTATCACACTAAAATCCATTATCTCCAAACCTGTAATCATCTCCACAACACTCATTCACTGCAGCAATACACTTCTTGTTTATGGCTTTGCCACATAACAACATGAGACTCTGTCTAATGTCGTCATCCATATACAGTAGATGTCCTCTGAGACTAGCAGCATGTGTGTTGGGAAAATCCCTCCTCTTAACCTGAATTTATTCAGTCAGTACAGAATGTGCAACACATTTAGACATCATAAACTTACTGCTATAATTTACTAGATTAGGATAAGATTTGATTAAAGGCATTAAGTTGAAGAATAAAGCATCAATTGAGTAGTCAAAAGACAGGTTATACAGTAATTCAGTTGAATAGAAAACATTTTTTAGACTCCTAGTTTTCATATAGCTGCTATCTCAACAGAATCCAAATGATAATATTTACATGGTTATCACCTGCCTTGCACTGACGGCAAATGATTTATATAAATACTAATTAATAAATTAATTTATAGTGAAATTAATCATTATTGCAACCATACTAAAGTCTGTACAAAACATAACAAGTGTTATGTTATCACACAATCCTGTTTTTATTTTCTTAAAATGACAACCTGCTTCTCTGCTGAAAATCTTTACAAACAGCCAGATTGTGTTTGCTGCTCCCAGCATTCCTCCTTTGATTTCAAGTGTCTTTGTTGGGTGTCTTTTGAAAAGCAGAACTGTGCATCTCAGTTGATCTTACATGTTTTGAGCACATCGGCAGCAGGAAGCAGCCTGAAGGAGGCGTCGTGATTTCTGTGCCAAGGTAACACCAAGTGGACGCGAAGCACTGCTGAGGGAGGTGAATGTGGGGTTCAGAATTTCAGAGCTGGTACTTCTCAAGATTTGTCTGCTATTTAAAACTTCTGTCTGTTACTGCATATCTGTCAAAAGCTACAGTTTGTCAGGAAAAAAGAAAAAAATTTTGGAGGTCATTTGAAATATCGTGTTATAATTACTATTTTCACATCTGTATTTCTGAGCTATTTTATCACTGTGGCTCATTGTTTTCCTTTTAAATGAAGAGGCCAAAAAACATTTTAATCCTTTTTCTGTTTCAATTTTTCACATGCTTCATGCCCATGTTCATTCAAAACCTACTGTATTTACCATTTAGAGTGCAAATGTGGCCCACCGGGAATAATAACCCTTGAGAGCCGGCTGGGTGGATAGACAGCCTGTGGCTCTCAAGAGTTTTTCTCACAATGTTGAGAGCAGAGCCAGGTGAGCTTTTCTCCTTAGGTGTCCTTTTCCTGCCATTGTCTAGACATAGCGTATGGTGTCCAGCTCCCACCACCAACCTGTCTGACTCACTAGTGGCTTTCATTACCACTTTGCACAGAATGACTGTTCTTCAAGCAGTCAGTAAAACCCAAGGCTGACTTGGGGGGATGAGCCTGTCCAGATTCAGTGGGTGCAGCAACAGCAGGGATGTTGAATCCATGAGGACCCAATTAAACCTGGGAGGGCCTCTGAATGAATAATAACAATGATAAATGGACCTCTGTGGCCAGCTTAAAAGATGCTGGGAGAAATGTCTTATTGTGCTGGGCTGTCTTGACACAATTTGCTCAGGGTTCCTGTGTGTTATTGCAGTATCAAAGGTTTAAGTTCTCACCTTGTAAAAGTTCTTTTTTTCTAGCAGACGCTTGGTGTCATAATTTAAACACTGATGACTTTGCAACATCAGACATTCTTCATGTGGTTTAAATTGGCTTGGGATGTAGTAACTCCATACCATGAGTACAAATATGTGTGTGCGAGTTGCAATTAGGGCGTGTGTGTGTGTGTGTATATATGACCTGGATTTTTTTATTCAGTTAGCTCATTTTAAATATATCAATTTTGTAAATTAGATATATAAATATGTTGGGTTGTTCGCACAAAACAATTCTCTAAAAACCTAAAAGGGGATTTTTAAAACATTTATTTTATTTTATTTTGTAAGTTTTTTTTTGCCATTTTGAATAAGAAAATACTGAAAAACTCACCAGAATATGTTTGTTGTATTCATATGTAAAAAAACAAAACAAAAACAAAACCCACCAAACATCCTAGTTTCAGTTTTTGGAATGTCTCTTTGCATTTTTTCAAATCATCTTATAATGCCTTATTTTATCGTTTCTAAAACTCAATTTTTCAAAAACTTTTCTATTTATTGTTGTTTCCTGTTCTTTCCTTTTTAACTGTTTTGTATTGTTTTTTAATTTTTGCACTTGGACCTCGAGTTTATGACAACGTGTCATTCATTCATTAAATTATTTGAAGTTTGCTCTGTCTTAGGGAAGATATGCAATCACTTGAGACTGAAAGTTTATGACTCTCTGTCATCAGGTGGTAATTGAAAGAAAAACATTTCTTTGATTAGATAACAGTCTTCAGTGTTTTAGATTTGCACTTTGCCAACAGTGTTTATCAGTTACTGCTTGTGGTTTCATATTGCCAGTCAGTCTTTGTCTGTGTGATCGAGCCTCCTCCTCACTGCACTGCAGAGCCAGGTTATTGTACTTAAACAAATCAATTCTGTTGCAGTTGAGCTTTTTTTTTTTTTCCTCCATCCCCCGTCATTATGAACTGTTTGCAGTGCAGAGCACATTGATTTTTCACAGCCATGGAAAAGCTGTTGATGAATAGTGCAGAGGTATCTGGGGAGAATCTGGCTTTAAAAAGGAGGCACCCAGCATCAACCCCTCCTCCTCCTCCTCCTCTCTCCCGACCCATTGAGCCCCCAGCGCTCCTCCACTTTCTCTTTTCAGAGAGCAGCATTTCCAGCAGGGGAGAAATTGCTGCCTGAAAATCTTCCAGTGATAAAAACAGAG